AGCTACAGCTGAGGGTTGAATTAATGACGGGTTTTCCTGTATGTATTGTAAAAGCTCGTAAGGTCTAAGAGAACGAGGAGCTCTCGCTCCTCTCTCCCCGCTCAGTCCCGGAGCCAGTGGTCGAGTCACGGTGGGATTGTGTCTGTCAGGAGGAGGCCAGAGCCCCCGTGGATGTTTCCATAACGTGCAGGAGGAAATGAAGGACGCTCAGAGTGCAGTGTCTGACTGGAGCTGGGGCTGCAGAGATTGATTCGATTTTTCTCTGTGAGGCTTCTGCCTGTGGTAAAGCAAGAGAGTTCAGATTTTCTCAAGGCACCTCTTTGACCACCAAAGTCAGAGTTACTTGGTTGAGTCAATTATTTTACGCAAAATAATTACAGAATAATCGAAGAGTTGATTAGCAGAACAAAAGCACAGCTCTAAGGAGACCAGCTGCTGCACGGATAGTGTAGTGCTGCAACCTGACATCTGTGTTCGCTCAGATAACTTCCCTTAGGGCCTTTCTTTTTTCTTGGATTGGGTCAATAAGAACTCAAGGCATCTGGTAGTTGTTTGCCTCTGAAAGTGTTGCTGCAGTGTCAGAAATGGAGCAGTGCATGTGTGGTTTCCATACAGTAATTGAAAGTAATAAAGCAAATATATAGGCAGAGGCACTGGGACAAAAGTAAATACAGGTGTTGAACCATATTTGCTGCCTAGTGCAGAGACAACAAAGATCAAAATGTTATCTTGGTGCCAGAAACACTGACTGTCCCCTAATCTCCATCTGAGTTTTATTTCAGTGTAAATTATTGCCTACATTTAGGTGTGCAATAAATGCTTCCTACGGTAGGGGGAACAAACAGTCCTTCAGAACCGTCTGAAGCCAGGGCAGGTGCGACCACAGGGATTCACCCAAGCGCCCAGGTTGCGTGAAGCTGGCAGAGATTTTCAGTTATCGTCTGCTCTTGCTGGCCTGGGATTGACAGCTTGCAGGGCAGTGGGTTCTCCTTTGGAGGTTTAGTAGTCTTTGAAGACATGATGGATTTCATCTGAATTGCTCTGGCATTTGCACCAAGTTAGTTTTTTGAGGCTGTTGCTGTTATATTGCTAAATCATCACAAAATGAGATGTGGCTTAATATACTTGCACAGTTCACAGAGTAAAAAGTGCATATACCATTATCTCAGGGTTATCTAGTCTGTGTTATTGCAGGCTCTGCTGAAGAGTCATTTATTTCCTACCAGGAGCAAATGGCCCAGCAGTGAAAGTTTTTGGGGATGTTTTAGGCTTATTCTTTTTTTTTCTGCTTCAGATTGACTGTTGGAAATAATGTGACAGCTGATATTTCTGAGTTCTCTGAGCTGTACTGAGTAAAAAAGAACTTGTATTCTAGGGTAATGCGAGTAGGTTATAAAAGATGATGTGGATTTTTAACTAGTTATTAGGGTTAGTCAACAGAAAGCAGACCATTATTGTCATTAAAGCTGTCTAGTTAAAACTACAAGCAACCTGTTGCTCTTTGAAGAAACAGATCAAAGTTGTATTTACATAGGTAAGTAGGCAGCAACCTGTTTCCTGCTCTGTGCATGGTGTTGTAGACAGGCCTCAGTGCTGATCTGTATGTGGCCTTTCCAGCAGACTCAAAGTCAGTTTTGTTGTCATAGAGCAGAGCCTTTTCAGCATGGAAAGCTTGGTACTAACTAGCACCTTGCACACCCTAGCTACTCTGGGCAAAATCTGCCATAGCAGATAGGTAGCACCAGACAGTCAGGCACATGAATTGTTAGGGGAGAAGCTGCTGCCTAAGAACTCGCGCACCATCCAGGGAGTTGCAAGTACACCACCAGAGATAACTGCTGGGACCAGAGCCCCTTCACAGCAGGCAGCTCCCATGAGCGGACGGGTGCCCCTTTCGACTCCTCACTCATACACACACTCACTCTTGGGCATGCTTCCTCCTCCTTCGGACTCAACCTGCTTCTCACACACCTTTTTAGACCAGTGGTGATTTTTTGGTCTGGGGTCTTCTAAGACCTTACTGGATTCTTTATCCGTCTCCATATAGGCAGGCTGTTTACTGTTCTTATCTTGTTGAGTTATAGCTTCTACTAATGGTTGTAGCTTCTTTATCTTCTGGTTTGTGCTTCTTGTGAACCTGCTTGTCAGCAGAGAATGGACACTAAAAAAGCCCTAGACCTACAATAAACATTATCTAAATGTTTAGCAACTTAAACTTAGCAACAACTAAAACATCAGTGTGTTACCAAGTTCTTCTCACACCAAAGACAAAACACAGCACCATACCAGCCTCTAGAAAGATTACTAAGAAAACTAACTATTCCAGCAGAAAGCATATCTAGGTAAAAGTCCACAGCTTAAGGCCTAAGGCTGCAGCAAATCTAGCTACCGATGCTATGAAAGTTAAGGTGAGCAAACAGCATACTAAACCACACAATAGTATAAGTGACTCAAAGTATTTAAAACTTATTTAAGCTAACTAACTTATATCTCTCAACATGAATGATCCAAGACTTACCACTGGATTTGGTGCATATTTAAAAATGTGAAAAGCAAAGAGAATTTGTCCAGAATTAGAGAACAGTATCCAGTGGAACTCACCTCATACCAAGAGGAAGGATGGCAGTTTGATTAAAACTCTTTTTTATTTATTTCCCAACATTAGTATTAAGCTAATCTGTTAGTGTTGACTTTCAGTAACACTTGGTGGACGTTTTTAACTTTTCATGTTGTATTCACAGCACTAATATGGCTCATTATAAATGACTAATCTAGTGCCCTGATCCTGCAATGGGATTGTGTCAGTAATCTGTTTTTCCCACAGTGGAGCTTCCTGTGGCTCCAGCAGCCCTTCCAGGCTGATCAGGGTGCAGGACAGACACTGACGTGACAACAGAAATTTGTATAAGCCAGTGCATACATGGAAAAAGAAAGAGTAATTGAATGATGAAGATTGAGATAAACCCACATCAGTTATTAGTGTATAATGTTGCAACATGGGTTAACTGTCATTTCCTTTCAAGTTTGCATTATCAGCAGTTGTGCAAACTACAAGACTCGAAGGTTTAATTTTGTCTTGTCATTTAATCCTTAGTCTCCGCTGAAATTGCAAGATAATTATGTAAAACGTTGGAGAACAGTGTTGAATCGTGTGCTCAATTCTTCTCGTATGCTGTGTATCAGAAGTGTCATTAAGCTTTAAGCAGACTTCTGATGTGAACAAGTTTGTTGATAGAAGCTCAAGCTGGAATTGTACGTGTGAGCAAAAATATTTTTTTTTACCCTTTTTGCATGATAGTGGAAGAAATTTCATCAATGAAAACATTTTCCATTTTGCAATGCAAAAGATTAATCCATTGAAGTTCTCTTGGTAAAGTGCTGTGAGACTGACCTATGGGGGTGGATGATCAGATGTATTTACAGAGACCTGAAGTGGCAGTTTCACATCAGGAAAAATGTCAGTACAGTAAGTCAAGTAAAATCATACATGTTTATGCTGATGTTTACAGACTCCAGGTCTTCCTCTCTTTAAAGGGATCTTGCTTTGCTTTCTTATTCACAGTCACTGTTAATGTGTTGGAAGGAAAAGACTGCAAAGAATCTGTCAAGCTCATTGCAGAAAGCACTAATCTCTCAGAAGAGCAACTTGCTTTCCTCATCTCTGGCATGTATACCCTGCTGCGAGAGGCATTGAGACTCCCCTTATCAACTTTCAAACAAGAAGTAAGTTCTGGGAGTACTTGGGAGTCCTGATAAGTTGAAACCTGCATCAGACATGGGTTACCATCTAAAACCTATTTGCCAGGGGGGAGCTACACATAAGAATGTTCCAAGTTAAACTGGCTGGAAGAAACTTAAAAATCTGGAGGTTATTGGTTTACTTGTTGGATAGGTTTACAGTGAGCTTCTTGGAAAAGTGTTTAAGCTTTGGGAAAGAGAGATCTTTTTGTACTTCAGTACCTGCACTGTGTATATTTGTTTTCACTCTTAAATTAAACCCCCAAAAGAAACCATTGCAAGTGATTTCCTTGACATCAACTCTCTGTTACCATAACCACGTGCTCACACATACCACTCATTCTGTCCACATTTACAATTCCTCGTATTTGTCTGCCTGCTTTTCTTCGTGCTTCTGCTTTAGAGGAAGGAAGGTTGCATGGCCAGAACACTGGAGTGAAAACTGGGAGAAGGTTTTCCTGCTTATGCTATGGATGTGTTCTCTGTGAATATGGATACATATGCCATGTTTCTGACGCCTATCCCTGCTTCATGAGTATTTTCTTTTTCATGTTCCTTTACCTTATGTTTCTTTTCTTACTTTATTTTTATGTGAGTGAACCACTTCTGGGCTTACAGCACTGCTCTCTTGCTTAAGATACTGTTTTCATATTTACCCAGGCATGCTGGGAAAGCTCTTATATTGCAGGAAACATATTGAAAGTATGCTTTGTATGTTTTTAGTACTCAGAGCTTATCTTTCACCACTTCCTTTCTGTTATCATAGTTTAAACAAGTTACTGCAAAACATATTTGAGAATAAGGGTACATAATTATTCTAAAAAAACCAATGTTATGGATAGTTACGTGAAGGAAATAGTAGGGATGATGTTTTTAAAAATAAAGGCTTCCAGTAGATTGAGGTCTTTAAAATTAGTTTCTCACGACTTGATTGAAGACTTCTGGACATTCTTCTCAATATGTAACCTGTCATTTCAGTACTACTGGCACTTGAGACTAAAATTGTTGGGGAGAGATACCAAGCAGGTAACCGCTATTAACTCACTAGGTAAAAAATGATCTTTCAAGACTACATCCTGTAAAATCTCACCTTCTTTGTCTTTCTAGGTTTTTAAGGAAGACCTAAAGGAGCTCAGGTATGCCTATTTATGCATACATAATACATTTGTTACCAAATGTCATGTGAAGCCAGAGGTGTCGAGTTAGCACTGAGCATGAGCAGTAAATTTCACAGGCTGGGGAGATTGGTCTAATTTAGTCTGTAATGTAGGTTATGCAAATGTGAGTGACTTTCTCTCTGCCATCCTCACCTTACCCTACACTATCTTTTAACATGTTTGGTAAGACAGTGCTAGCATTTCAGAAGCTAAGAAATTGCCATACTAGTTTTTGTTCTTTGAAAGGCCAATGGTACAACTTTTACGACATTCTACCACCTTGTTCAGCTGCGATCTCTCCTACCCATTACCCTAGAAAGCGTAATGATTGTTACAGACTTCATCAAAATCAGTATCAACCTTTTCAGAGTATCTCTGAGTTGAAGTTCATATCCTAAAAGCTAGACCTCAGATGATAATCATCTTTATAGGTTTTCCCTTATTTCCTTATTCAGTAGCAAGGAGAGAATAACAGTAGTTGCTGTTTTCATCTGTAGAGAAACCTCTGCACCAAGGCTCAATTATTTTAAAATGCTTATTTCCCATAACTCTCAGCATCCTGATTCCCACCTAGGAGAAACAGATCAATATGTTTCTATCTTTTTTCAACCTTATTTGTCTGTTAACCTGCACATTGGCTTTCTCCTCAGACTCCGTTCTGCAGAATCGTAAGCATAACTTATTTTATGAGCAACTTCAGGCAAATTAAAGCTGCAGATTTAGCCACATAAGTGGTGAAAGGTGTAACTGGGGCCATGGTGAAAGGTGCCTGGCTAGTCGATACAATTTTGCCTGCAGCTCAGTGCTGGAGTTTGCCCTGCCTTTTGTCTTATGAGCTAAATGCAAGCTACTTCCTCTGCCACATCATGGAGTTCACACCCAGGTTAAAGTAGGTCAGTAAGAAAATGCTGAGTTGCTTTTGACCCAGTGGGAGCTGGTGTTTTTGAGGTGTGCACAGAACGTGTTCAGTGTGATTAAGGGATAATGAAGAGCACTAGAAGCTCCATGTCGAGTTCTCCAGGTGAATATTCCTCTGCTGAGCAGTGGAGAAAGTTGGTGTACAGGAAT